TCCACCTAGACTGTACAATATTTCAGGATATAATAATTTATATAAGTTTATATTTATATATTTTGCTGATATACATATTTCTTTTATGATTATGATAATTAATACAACACATAAATTACGATAGCATTCTAAATGATCTTCGTGATGTCATCAATCTGACGTATCCTTGTGTTACCAACTCTGTTATGGCATCTGCAAATACAGCGAAAAAACAGCGTGATGCAAGCGAAACACACCTTTGATTATACCAATAAGTGAAGGATTTTCTACTTGACATTTTGGGCAATGGTATTTGTCCACTTCCTGCGCCTGTTGCGGCGTGATATTCACACAATCACAATGAAACCTATATATGACACAATTCAAGTATATTATATAGAATAAGCACAACTATTGGATCTATTTTTGTAAACCTTGGGCCAGGCATTTATAAAAGTTATGAATAATTTATTTTTTGCAATCACTATTGAAATTAAAACTTGCCACTCATTGCACGAATCACATTCAACCATAACTCCGGAAGCTGGACCACGACATATACAGTAAGGTCCATCATCAGTTTCTCCTTGACCCTTTTTAGGTCTTTGTCTTCTTTGCCGAGGTTGAATCCCAGGGGTAGGACGCATTTGATTTGCGAACCGAGTTCCGTAAGAATGCCCCTGTTGAACTTGTATAGGCTGTTGAGGCTGCGTCATTAGAGTGGGATCGATAAGAAACTGTGTAGCTGCTGCTTCAGGATTTATCAACATCGATTGGGCATTGTTATCCTGAACTGTTTGTACAGAATCATGAAGTACGAGAGAAGATGTATTCCAATCTTGTGAAGATATTTGACCGTCTGGCGTTGCACTGATATTCCATATTATTTGTGGACCGTCAGTCACAGCAATAGTATCAGAGGAGTGAACAAAGTCATCAAAATGTATAAAATTCAAATCTTCAACTGTAAAACCATTTCCGTTTTCTATTGTGGCACCACCTAAATTTCCAAGGGATTGTTCATCATGTCTTTCGGTGTCATTTATATATTGTGACATGGAAACGTTTCCCATTTCCTCAGACATTACTACATTGTCATCCATTTCTCCACCGAAAGGCAAATTTACATATTTACTTAAATCGTTATTTTCCATTAATTAACCTATTACCTTTAATAATCTGCTACAAATAATAAAAATAAATTAAAGAATTTATTAATGGTACATCACAAAAAAAAATGTGCGGGTCACCAAGGAAAAAAAAAAATGCTCCAGTAACAAAACGTACCTTCAAATAAGAGGTTGGAGACTGTACGTTATATAATAACGACTCTGCAACTCCTTTTTATTAAATACTACGAATAAGCTAAATGCAAAACACTACTTTTAAATCTTTTTACAAAATGATTTAGATCTATAAAATCTAATATTATTCTTTATTATCAATTTGGATATCTTAGCTAGGACCAATAGACAGAAAAGCTTTACTTTTTAACCTGCTTTTTTTATTTATTTATTTTTTATATTTTTTTTTTTTTTGAAAAAAAAACTACGGACTAACACCTCAACGTTACTTTCGAGTGTGAAGAATTACTCGCTATAGTTTGTTGGAAGGAGTTATTGCTTTTTATTTACAATATGGTAGGGCTGTGCAACCGGAAAGCGTGTGTCTTATCAACGACTATCCTGATTTAGAAAATGAGTGGATGATGGCTGATATAATGATTAAGTTTCACTACTTACTATTGGATAAAAATTTATAAAATATTTTAGCATTAACGATCGATTCATTCATCCAAATTATTTATTATAATAATAATGAAAATCTTTGAAGTTAAATTTTTTTTTTAAAAAAAATCAAGTAATTCAGAATTGCAATGCTAGAAACAAAAATACGCACTATCTCTATCTTTTACACCGTCCCACTACTACAGTGATATATTTTCGATTCAATATAGTTCGGTACATCAATCACAGATTACTCTGACAATTTGCAGGCAAATTTGTCTGCAGGACAGCATAAGGGTTATAGTAGTTACAATTTAGCATTTGTTTTATAATTCCTATATACTATCTGTTAAAATAGCTTTAATATCTTGGATTTTTATTGAAATGATCTATGAAGTTTTACATATATTATGTCTTATCCACTGGCTAATTAATTGGTACGTAATGTTCTAAGTAAAAATGGTTTATGCTTTTTAATAAGGTCATACAAACTTAATAAATTGGTTCTCATAACCCGGCCGGGTCAAATTTTGCAAAACTTTGAAAAAAATTTTTGACTATATTTATTATCCGGGTGAACTTTTTTTAGATGTTTATGAAAAAGTTTTATATGTTTTTTGTATATAAAAGTTTTTGAAAATAAAATTAAAAGCCGGGTTACCAGGTCATTTTTAAAATTTTATATTATGAGAACCAAAAAATTAACTTTGTATAACCTTACTTAAAATCAAATAAAATTTATATATATTTTCATCAGTAAAAATATATATATAAACTTTTGAAAGTTTTTACAGTATGTGAGAAAATCATAAAAATATATAAAATTTAATATAAAACTATGTATATCAGCAAAATATATAAATATAAACTTATATAAATTATTATATCCTGAAATATTGTACAGTCTAGGTGGA